CGATCAACTGATATTGCTATCTTGTGATAAACATCTTTCACAATTCATTGAGATACAACGTTCTTTAAATGTTCATTGTGATATGAAAGTTTCAACTAAAATACGCAACACTTCAAATAGCAAATACAGTCCATGTACAAAAAGGGTTTCAAGTTCGACACGAAACCAGTAGCTCCTAAATAAAAACAAAATTAATACTAATGAGCACACGTTATGTCAAGTCCAGGTTTTGTGTGGTATTTGTAACTGCTCTGTTCTCCAATCTGTTTGAAAATATCAACAGAAGATGCTGTTCATTGCAGAGACAATAATTCTCTTTTCATTTGACATTCAATGCATGTCAATTCCAACAATGTTGATGCACTTCAATCTACGCGCGAACACACTTTTGTGTTTCTCTGATTTCGCACAATTTTGCCAAGTCTGATTTTCAAAGGTCCATTTTTAGAGACCATATCTCGGGCGTAAACATTGATGAAATATTAATGTGTTATATGATGCAGAATTTATTAAGCTTTAAATTAGTATGGTGCATGATCGGGTAGAAAAAGCCTATTACTCGATGATTGGGTTATTACACTTTTAAATTTCTTTTCGCTGAAGCTACAGCGAGCATGTAGCACATCTCTGTGATTGGCTGAAATATAGAGACGTATTTCGGCCGTCTATTTTTGGCGTCGCGCGGGGTTTCCCTCGCCACTAAACCAGATCTCGCCCCGCTGAGCGGCGGCGCCAGGTTGGTTTCATCGCCAACTGCTTGCGGTGTGCGGGTGTGTGTGTGTGCTTGTGCGTGTGTGCGCGCGCTTGTGTGTGTGTGAGTGTGTGTGCGCGCGCGCGCTTGCGTGTGTGTGTGTGTGTGTGTGTGTGTGTGTGTGTGTGTGTGCACGCACGCTTTCTCCTCGCCCCTTCTCTATAGATCTCTCTCTTTCTTTCTCCTACCTCTCTCTCTACTCAACCTTCTCTCTTTTTTCATCTTTCTCCTCCCCCTTTTCTCTCTCTCTCTCTCTCTCTCTCTCTCTCTCTCTCTCCCTCCCTCTCTCTTTCTCCCTCTCTTCTCTCTCTCTCTCTTCCTCTTTCAACCCTACTTCTCAATCTCCCTCTCTCATCCCCCCCCCTTCTCTCTCCCTCTCTCTTTCTCCTTC